CAAGTGGGTCCCTGACCCCCAAGTAGCCTAACGGGGAGGCACCCGCCAATAGGGGCAGACTGACACCTCACACGACCAGGTACCTCTCTGAGATGAAGCTTCCAGAGGAACAATCAGGCAGCAACATCTGCTGTTCAGCAATATTCACTCTTCTGCAGCCTCTGCTGCTGATACCCAGGCAAATAGGGTCTGGAGTGGACCTTGAGCAAACTCCAACAGACATGCAGCTGAGGGTCCTGACTGTGAAAAGGAAAACTAACAGAAAGGACATCCACACCAAAACCCCATCTGTACGTCACCATCATCAAAGACCAAAGGTAGATAAAACCACAAAGATGGGGAAAAAACAGAGCAGAAAAGCTGAAAATTCTAAAAATCAGAGCGCCTCTCCCCTCCAAAGGAATGCAGCTCCTTGCTGGCAATGGAACAAAGCTGGACGGAGAATGACTTTGACGAATTGAGAGAAGAAGGCTTCAGACGATCAAACTTCTCAGAGCTAAAGGAGGAAGTTCGAACCCATCGCAAAGAAGATAAAAACCTTGAAAAAAGATTAGACAAATGGCTAACTAGAATAACCAATGTAGAAAAGTCCTTACATGACCTGATAGAGCTGAAAATCATGGCACAAGAACTACATAACAAATGCATAAGCTTCAGTAACCAATTTGGTCAACTGGAAGAAAGGGTATCAGTGATTGAAGATCAAATGAATGAAATGAAGTGAGAAGAGAAGTTTAGAAAAAAAAGAGTAAAAAGAAACAAACAAAACCTCTAAAAAATATGGGATTATGTGAAAAGACCAAATCTACGTCTGATTGGTGTACCTGAAAGTGATGGGGAGAATGGAACCAAGTTGGAAAACACTCTGCAGGATATTATCCAGGAGAACTTCCCCAACCTAGCAAGGCAGGCCAACATCCAAATTCAGGAAATACAGAGAACACCACCAAGATAGTCCTTGAGAAGAGCAACTCCAAGACACATAATTGTCAGATTCACCAAGGTTGAAATGAAGGAAAAAATCTTAAGGGCAGCCAGAGAGAAAGGTTGGGTTACCCACAAAGGGAAGCCCATCAGACTAACAGCAGATCTTCATGCTAAAAACTCTCAATAAATTCGGTATTGATGGAATGTATCTCAAAATAGTAAGAGCTCTTTATGACAGACTCACGGCCAATATCACACTGAATGGGCAAAAACTGGAAGCATTCCCTTTGAGAACTGGCACAAGACAGGGATGCACTCTTTCACTCCTATTCACTCCTTTTCACTCCTATTCCACATAGTGTTGGAAGTTCTGGCCAGGGCAATCAGGCAAGAGAAAGAAATAAAGGGTATTCAGTTAGGAAAAGAGGAAGTCGAATTGTCCCTGTTTGCAGATGACATGATTGTATATTTAGAAAACCCCACTGTCTCAGCCCAAAATCTCCTTAAGCTAATTAGCAACTTCAGCAAAATCTCAGGATAAAAAATCAATGTGCAAAAATGACAAGCATTCTTACACACCAATAACAGACAAACAGAGAGCCAAATCATGAGTGAGCTCCCATTCACAATTGCTTCAAATAGAATAAAATACCTAGGAATCCAACTTACAAGGGATGTGAAGGACCTCTTCAAGGAGAACTGAAAACCACTGCTCAATGAAATAAAAGAGGACACAAACAAATGGAAGAACATTCCATGCTCATGGATAGGAAGAATCAATATCGTGAAAATGGCCATACTGCCCAAGGTAATTTATAGATTCAATGCCATCCCCATTAAGCTACCAATGACTTTCTTCACAGAATTGGAAAAAACTACTTTAAAGTTCATATGGAACTAAAAAACAGCCTGCATTGCCAAGACAATCCTAAGCCAAAAGAACAAAGCTGGAGGCATCATGCTACCTGACTTCAAACTATACTACAAGGCTACAGTAACCAAAACAGCATGGTACTGGTACCAAAACAGAGATATAGACCAATGGAACAGTACAGAGCCCTCAGAAATAATACCACACATCTACAACCATTTGATCTTTGACAAACTTGACAAAAACAAGAAATGGGGAAAGGATTCCCTGTTTAATAAATTGTGCTGGGAAAACTGGCTAGCTATAAGTAGAAAGCTGAAACTGGATCCCTTCCTTACACCTTATACGAAAGTTAATTCAAGATGGATTAGAGACTTAAATGTTAGACCTAAAACCATAAAAACTCTAGAGGAAAACCTAGGCAATACCATTCAGGACACAGGCATGGGCAAGGACTTCATGTCTAAAACACCAAAAGCAATGGCAACAAAAGCCAGAATTGACAAATGGGATCTAATTAAACTAAAGAGTTTCTGCACAGCAAAAGAAACTATCATCAGAGTGAACAGGCAACCTACAGAATGGGAGAAAGTTTTTGCAATCTACTCATCTGACAAAGGGCTAATATCTAGAACCTACAAAGAACTCAAACAAATTTACAAGAAAAAAACAACCACATCAAAAAGTGGGCAAAGGATATGAACAGATACTTCTCAAAAGAAGATATTTATGCAGCCAACAGACACATTGAAAAAAAGCTTATCATCACTCACCATCAGAGAAATGCAAATCAAAACCACAATGAGACACCATCTCACACCAGTTAGCATGTCGATCATTAAAAAGTCAGGAAACAACAGGTGCTGGAGAGGATGTGGAGAAATAGGAAAACTTTTACAGTGTAAACTAGTTCAACTATTGTGGAAGACAGTGTGGCAATTCCTCAAGGATCTAGAACTAGAAATACCATTTGACCCAACCATCCCATTACTGGGTATATACCCAAAGGATTATAAATCATGCTGCTCTAAAGACACAAGCACACGTATGTTTATTGCAACACTATTCACAATAGCAAAGACTTGGAACCAACCCAAATGTCCACCAGTGATAGACTGAATTAAGAAAATGTGGCACATATACACCATGGAATACTATGCAGTCATAAAAAAGGATAAGTTCATGTCCTTTGTAGGGACATGGATGCAGCTGTAAACCATCATTCTCAGCAAACTATCGCAAGAATAGAAAACCAAACACCACATGTTATCGCTCATATGTGGGAACTGAACAATGAGAACACTTGGATATAGGAAGGGGAACATCACACACCGGTACCTGTTGTGGGGTTGAGGGAGGGGGAAGGGATAGCATTAGGAGATATACCTAATGTAAATGACGAGTTAATGGGTGTAGCACACCAACATGGCACATGTATACATATGTAACAAACCTACACGTTGTGCACATGTACCCTAGAACTTAAAAGTATATAAAAAATTAAATAAATAAATAAAAAGAACTCAGGAAGGTTAAATATGCTGTCTTACCAATAAACAATAGGGTCCCTAAAAATCTTAACGATAATGTCTCACAGCAGTTTCACATGGGAACCCAAGATAGAGGCGGGCCGTCCAAAAGAGATTTGTGGGTGTGGCTTTTGTCAGATGGAGTAAATTATAAACTGTTTTAAAAGAAACCCATGAAGTTTTAAAATGATTTGCATCAGGTTGGATTGAAAAGGACAATAAAATGAAAACATAAACCTTCATGCACTGTTAGTAGGAGTGTAAAATAGTGTAGCCACTGGAAAATCTGCCAGTACCTCAAAAGATGGAACATAGAGGTACCATATGACCTAATAATTCCACCCCTAGGTATATACCCAAGAGAATGAAAACATATCCACATAAAAAGTTGTACACAGATGTTTATAGCAGCATTATTTGTAATAACCAAAAAGTAGAAACACTGTAAATGCCCATCAACTGATGAGTGGAAATGTAAACTGTGATGTATTCATACAATTGAATATTATTTGACAACAAAAATAAATGGAGTGCCAGTACATGCTGTAACATGGATAAGCCTTTGTATTAGTCTGTTTCGGCAGTTCTGTAAAGAAATACCTGAGACTGGATAATTTATAAATAAAAGAGGTTTAATTGGCTCAGAGTTCTGCAGGTTGTAAAGTAAGTGTAGTAGCTTCTGCTTCTGTGGAGGCCTCAGGAATTTTCCAGTCATGGTGCAAGGCAAAAGAGAAGCAAGGCACATTTCACATGGCTGGAGCAGGAGGGAGTGGGGGGAGGTGCCACCGCTTTTAAACAAACAGACCTCACAGTAACTCACTAATATGAGAACAGTACCAAGAGGGATATCTGCCCCCATGATCCAATCACCTCTCAACAGGTCCCACCTCCAACACTGGGGATTACAGTTTGATATGAGATTTGGGTGGGGACCCAGATCCAAAGCATCTCAGCCATGAAAACATGCTAAGTAAAGTAAGCCATCACAAAAGTCCACATATTATATAATTTCATCTATATACAATCCCCAGAATAGGCAAATCTATACAGATAAAAAGTAGATTTATGGTTGCCTAGGGTTGGGGTAAATGGGAGGAATGGATAGTGATTCTTAAAGGCTTCAGGCTTTCTTTTGGAGATGATGAAAATATTCGAAAGTGGATTATGGTGGTAGTTACACAAGTTGGTAAATATCCTAAGGAACCATCAACTTGTATACTTTAAATGGTTGAATTAATGGTATGTGAATTTTATCTCAAGAAAGCTGTTATCAAAAAGGAATTAAAATGAAGAGAGGCCCTTGAACTTCTATGGACAGGGAGCAGACTGAGGAAAATATTTGGCAAACATGGGCTACATTTTATGGAAAAGGAAAGAAATTCAGAGGATGGAATCAGGAGCCCAAATAGGGGAACCAAAAGCTAATCCCAGGCAGTACATGTGGGCGGGGTGCAGTCGCTCACTCCTGTAATCCCAGCACTTTGGGAGGCTGAGGCAGGTGGATCACTTGAGGTCAGGAGTTCAGGACCAGCCTGGCCAACATGGCGAAAGCTTGTCTCTACTAAAAATACAAAAATTAGCCAGCCATGGCGGCATGTGCCTGTAATCTCAGCTACTCAGGAGGCTGAGGCAGGAGAATTCCTTGAACCCAGGAGGCGGAGGTTGCAGTGAGCTGAGATCGTGCCACTGCACTCCAGCCTGGGTGAAAGAGCGAGACTCCATCTCAAAAGCAAAAAACAAACAAACAAAAAATGACAACCTTGTGCCTCATTTGATTTCAGAATTGCTATAAACCAGTGGCTACTTTGTTCCTCTGATTTTTCCTTTTTTTTTTTTTGAATGGGACTAACTATTGCCTGCCATTTGTTTTACCTATGTTGTATTCTAGGTACATGTGGACAGATAACTTGTCTCTTTAGTTGATAGGTCTTCAGGTCAAGATGAACTGCACTCAAGCTGAACTCAAGGAACTGCCTCAGAGGAGCTTCATCCACCTTCGTACCTAACTTAGATGACAAGATCTTTGGACCTGATGTTCTAAATAGATGAAACTTTTGGGGAAGGGGGTTTTGCAGGAAGAGTGTCTCTGTTTTGCACATGGGAGGAATGTAAACAGCTCATGGCTACAGTGTGGATTGTGGTAGGTTTTAAAACATGTCCACAAATTTTTAGTTACTTGCTTTCAAGAGGCAGAGTCTAATTTTTCTTCCTTTGAATATGAGCTCGTTTCTGTGACTTGGTTCTAATGCATAAAATGTGGTAGAGGTGATTCTGTATGACTTCTGAAGTAAGGTCATGAAAGTAATACAGCTTCCACTCCACTTTCTCTCTTGGGATGCTTACCCTTCAAACCAAGCCACCATGTTGGGAGGAAGTCCAAGCCACATTGGAGAGGCTGCATGTAGAGGCTGATCACCCTAAGGCCCTAGCCAACAAGAAGTGTCTACCACCAGATGTGGGTTAGTGAACCTTTAGATAGTTTCTGCCCCAGACTTTGAGCTGCTATAGCTGTCACTAAGAACTATAGGCAAGCCTTGCCCAGATTAAGATTTGTCAATAAAGGCTGGGCATGGTGGCTCACGCCTATAATCCCAGCACTTTGGGAGGCCAAGGCAGGCGGATCACGAGGTCAGGAGATCGAAGCCATCCTGGCTAGAACAGTGAAACTCCATCTCTAGTAAAAATACAAAAAATTAGCTGGGCGTGGTGGTGGGCGCCTGTAGTCCCAGCTACTTGGGAGACTGAGGCAGGAGAATGGCGTGAACCCAGGAGGCAGAGCTTGCAGTGAACTGAGATCGTACCACTGCACTCCAGCCTGGGTGACAGAGTGAGACTCCGTCTCAAAAAAGAAAAAAAAAAACCAGATTTGTCAATAAAATAAATATTTTAGGCCATTAAGATGTGTGGTGGTTTGTTTCCCAGTGATAGATAACTGGAACAGGCAGTATGAATAGGATTGATTATATATTGGAAGTAAGGGAGAAGAAACACTCAAGAATGTTAACCAGGTTTTCTAGGTTCAGCAGATTAACAGAAAGCAGTGTCAGATTGTATTGATTTGTTTACCCACTTAAAGCAGTAACAAATTTCCAGGGTTTGGACAGTGTCAGCTGGGATGCTAGCCACCCAATAGTTTCTTAAGAGGTGATGATTGTCATGGAATTTTTTTTTTTTTTAAACAAAGCCTTGTAATCAGTTTGTTTTGATAGTAACAGCTTTATTATTCTTAGGAAACAAATAATATCAAAGTAAAGAAGATGAAGCATAAGTTTGGAAGAGGGAAGGCAAACAGCAGTGACTAAGAAGCTGAAAAATTATTTTATCTGTCATTCTAGCAACTGAAAGTCACTATTAGCACCTCTTGATTTACTATTATGATATTGATATTCATTATAATCCCTTTAAAAATTTAATGATCCTTTTTTAGAATTCTGGCACTTGCTTTTACTCTCTTACTGGAAGAGGTCTTGTCTCTAATAGCATTCTCTCAGTGAGGCCTTTCCTGGTCATCCTGTTTAAAATTGTAAACTTCTCATTTCCCACACTCCCTATTTCTCTTTTCTGCTTAGTTTTTTTCCCTTGGCATGAAATCACCATCTAACATAGTAGATTTACTTATCTGATTGTTTTTCTTCCCCTACTAGAATGGAATTTCCTTGAGAACAGAAATTTTTATCTTTTTCATTCACTCCTGCAACAGTGTTGACTATATAGTAGGTGCTCAGTAAATATTTGTTGAATAAATAAATTAAGTGATTTCTGAATGCCAAAGGAAGGATTGATTTCTGTTCAGATCACTTTCAGCGCAGAATGTATTTTATAATGTTTAGGTTTTTGGAAATCCACATCTAAGTGTGTCACATACATGTGTAATCCTAATGCCTCTAAGATGCATCCTATCTGGGTGCTGATGGGGTTGCGTGTTACTGGCCACAGCTCCCCTCCCTCTCCTTTTTGTTCCCATTTTAATGTTTTATTTGGAAATTTTTAAACATATGCAAAAATACCAAGACTAATATAATGAATGCTGATATGGTTTGGATTTGTGTCCAAAATCTCATGTTCAATTATAATCCCCAGTGTTGGAGATGGGGCCTGGTGGGAGGTGATTGGATCCTGGGGGTGGAGTTCTCATGAATGGATTAGCATCCCCTCAGTGCTGTTCTGCTGATAGTGAGTGAGTGAGTTATCCTGAGATCTGGTTGTTTAAGTGTTAGCACCTCCTTCCTCTCTGTCTTCCTCTGGCTCTGGCCATGTGAAGTGTTGGCTCCCCCTTTGCCTTCCACCATTATTGTAGGTTTCCTTAGGGCTCCCCAGAAGCTGAGCAGATGCCAGCACCATGCTTCCTGTATAGCCTGCAGAACTGTGAGCCAATTAAACCTCTTTTCTTTATAAATTACCTGGTCTCAGGTATTTCTTTATAGCAGTGCGAGAATGGACTAATACAACCCCCATGTGTCTATTACTCAGCATTAATAATTATCAACATTTTGTCAATCTTGTTTGATCAGTTTCTTCCACCCACTTTTCCCCTAGATTATTTTAAAGAAAACTCAAGATATCATTTTATTTCACTTGAAAATTTCAGTATGCATTTCTGAATGTTAAGCACATTTAAAATAAATACTACCACCATACCATTTTCAGACGTAACAGAATTAATTTCTCTCATCTAATAGCCCACGAAGAAATTTCCCTGAGATGTTTGTATTCAATTGAAGATTCAAATACAGTCCAGACATTGCATTTAGCTGTTATTTGCCCTAAGTTTCACTTACCTCATAACAGTTTTCCCTCCTTTTTATTAATGCTTTTCATTTGTTGGTGAAACCTTGTGACATGGGACCAGGGACCAGTCCTGTAGAATCTTCCATGTTATAGATTTGACTGTTTCCCTATAGTGAACTTAACTTATTCTCTGGTTCTCTTTTTTTGTAAATCGTAGTTAGATCTTGAAGCCATGATTAGATTCAGAGTTAATTTTTGGGCAGGAACATTTCATAGGTGGTGCTGCTGTGTACTTTTTAATTCATTACCTCATAAGGCTTATAATGTGATTGTCTCAATTTTATGGAAGCTAAAATTGATTAGTGGGTTATTAACCTGATCACTTGATTATAAAGTTCCTCATCAACCTTTCATCTAATACTTTTAGTCTCCAATTATGATTTTTGCATAGCTCCATTATTTTATTAGAATTTGCAAAAATTGTGATTATTCTAAAGTTATTTTTTCTTTCTCATTTATTAGTTTTGATTCTTGTGAAAAAGAACTTCATTAACTATTAAGATATATTTAAGTACAGTTTGTACTGGAAGAGCAGAATACATGCTTATATTTTTTCCTTTATCAATTTTCAGACTGAGTTGGTGCACTAGTAATTCCCAGTGTGAGTAATGTTTCTTTTTAAAAAATTCCATATGAACTCAGATTTTAATGTATTTTGATATGTTTCAGTCTACTGTAAATTATTTTTTTCTGATCCTTAATATTTTCCATCTTAGACTAGTGGGAGCTCCTAGAAATTCACTTCTGTGTCTTCATTAATCTCTAATAACTTCAACATTGCGGTATAAGCTATCTTAGGCTTACCTGATACATTTCCTGCCCCAAACCTGGACCAGCTACTCTCCCTTCATATCTTTCACATGGGAAAATAATCTAATGCTTCCCGCCTTCAACATGGTGGATCTCAGAATGTTCTTGCTTCTATGACACACCAATTCTGTAATTAGAGGTTCTAAAGCTGTATAATAAAGAACTCTAATCTCTAATGGTTACCTTCTTTGTTTCTACTTCTTTTCCAAGATCATGACTGAGAGATTGTTAATAAAAGCATTGAGTGGTGGTAAAAACACGAAGATCATTACTTTGAATGGGAAGAAGATGACAAAGATGCCCTCAGCATTAGGAAAACTGCCCAGCCTGAAGACTTTAGTCCTTCAGAATAACCTAATCCCTAAAGTGTGCCCAGAGTTACGCACCTTGACCCAGGTGAGGAACAGTGTTTTGTTGTTGTTGTTTGGTTTTGAAGATGGAAAACAGGAAGAGAGAAAAAAGAGGTAAGAGACAGAACAATAACACTTCGATCTGTGGAGACTTCGGTCTCTGGAGACTTAATGTGGAGTGTTGCAGGAGAGGCATCAGAAGGCTTTATCCCTTAGGGAATTCCATGTGGTAGGGAGAGGTGTTTCAATTTATTCATGTGCTCTTTGGCCCACGTCTGGAATCAGGGGACTGGGTCTCTGCCACACTCATCTTTCTGGAGGCTGTCATCTGGAAAGGGGTTGGAAACCTGGATCTGCTCATCTACCTTGGGGGCTCACATCTGGAAGTAGTTTTGAGGATCCAGGAGATGATGTTCACCCTGGGGACTGTCCTGAAGCTTTTGCTTATGGAATGAAGAGACATTTAGGATGTAGGAAGGGAGTTCCTTTTCAATTTCCTAGGGCAGGCTGAAACTTTGAAATGGCGTGTTGGCAGGGAATAGGAAGGAAGGGACATTTATTTCTCTTGAAATAGTCTTTTAAGGAAGGTTAATATTCTAAATAAAAAATATTCTTTTTTAAAGAGCAATAGCTGACATGAATGAATCCCAGATGCTTGTGTGAAACCTTTCTGCCTAACAATGTGAAACTCTAGCTGCCAAAAATCTTGAGGTTGAGAGAAGGCAAGGGATATTAACTTGGTAATTTTCTTTTTGTTCGCTTCTGAATTGTCATCAGCACAGGAAGAACCTATAAGCAGCTAAGGCATTGTAACTCATTAATTTTGAGTTTACAGTTCCAAAAAATAAATCTGTATTTTCTTACTTTCACCGTACCTCATTTCCTTTTAGGTTTAAGAAACTGAGTTTGTAATCTGCAGTTGTGTCTTTGTAAGAAATAGGGTAACATTTACAAATTCCCCACTTCATTAGTAATTGCAGAAAGTATACTTGTAGTTACAAGACAACAAGGACTTGGAATTTTTTAATAAGAAAGAGGAGTTTCTACGCAAGAGAATTTGGGACTTGACTGAGTCATGAACCTATTCTCTCCCTCTATTTGAATTTATTTCCATTAAAGTAATACCATTGGTTACAGAGAATTAAATATTACAAAAAGTGTATAACAAGAAGCTATCTTCTATCCTACTTCCCCTCATCTCCAATCCTGGTCTTCATATATAACCACTTTTAACTCATCTATTTTCTTGATTTGTCTATATTTGGCATCATTTTTCTTCATCTTCTAGATAGTTATATTAATGTATCTATTGTATATTGGCCCACATCTGGAATCAGGGGATTAGGTCTACAGGTATCTTTTACATGTGGTGTTACTACACCTTTATTTCTTCCTTCATCAACTGCAGTCTCTTTTGACTCCCCACTTCCCCACTTCGTAAGATGACAGTGTCAGCCTCTGTAATCCACCTTCAACTGTCCTTTCCTCTCCTCCCTCACAAACTCTGCAGTTTTTACTTTTATAAGACTTAGAGCTTTTATATTGTATTAAGTTATAAGCATAATTAAGTATTTGTTTTGTGTCTTGGATAACTCTTCTAAAAATATATATTACTAATAAATAAATATTCACATGGGGTCAATTAATCTATGATTCTATTTTCTTTCTTATATGCAATTTTTGTTCCCTTAGGGTTTCTAATAACCTTTCCTTTGTTCTTGTGCCTTAGCTTTATGGTGGCCTCATTTTATTTCAAACTCAACCATATTATTTTTTTCTGTCAAATGTACTTTTCCTTGAGAGACTTCCCTCTAAGACCCTCCATCCTCTGCCCCAATCTAAGTTGATTGCTATCTAGGTTTGCTAATACCGTCAGCCAAAGACATTCACTTTGTTGCTCTCTTAAATTGGACCCACTGTTTCCTGTATCCTGTATTTTCCTTTCTTGGCTTGCTCTCTTAGTTTTTCCAGGAGTCTCGAGAAATCATCCTAGTCTGGGTATGTGGTAGTTAAATTGTTTGATCCCTTGCATATCTGAAAATGTCTGTATTCTTGTCTCACACTTGGTTAATAGTTGTTTAGTAAAAAGTTACAGATTCCAAAATATATTTCCATAGGAAAAAGCCCCAAGAGTCTGATTATCATTACATTGTCTTCTTGTGGCTCCCTTTATTACTTCTCTTCTTATTCTTCTATTTAGGGGTAACCTAAATGTTGACTTCTGTTTGTTCACACTCAGTTCCTTCACCAAGAAGCTGGCTCAGCCCAGTGCTTACTTTTAAAGAGGAAATTACACCATTAAGAATTCAACTGATTTGAAACTAGGCTGCTTATAGTCTAGTCTATCTTTAAAGTACTTTAAAAGTCAGATTCAGGCCAATGGCATATGTTTAGCTGTTCATGAGCTAGCAATTTTTCTTATATAGGGTCTTGGAGAGATTGTGGAATTTTGGGGAAAAAAACTATTTTCCCTGTGTGATGGGAGTTCTAGAAGCATGCTAGATAAAATGTGCTAGAAACCCTTAAAGAATGGTTGTAGATTATCATACAGTTCAGATGTACAGCTCCATCCCTCTCACAGTTGGTAATAAAGGGCAGATGGCCTGGTGTGGTGGCTCACATCTGTAATCCCCGGCAGTATGGGAGGCTAAGGTGAGCAGATTGGGCTCAGTAGTCTGAAACTGGCCTGGGCAACATAGTGAGACCTCCTCTCTACAAAAAAATAAAAATAAAAAATTAGTCAGGCACGGTGGCACGTGCCTGTAGTTCCAGAGGATTGCCTGAGGATATGCGAGGTTGCAGTGAACTGAGATTGCACCACTGCACTCCAGCCTGGGCTGCAAAGTGATTCTGTCTCATTAAAAAAAGGAAAGGCAGATGAAGGTTTCAAAGAAAGAGACAGCTTAGAGAATTGAAAAGAGCCCTAGATGAGAGTTTAGAAGTGCTGGCACAACTTAACTGGTTGAACCAGCTATATACAAGGCACTTAGTTTCTTTGGGCCTCAATTTCTGCCTAAGCATTGAGGACCATCTGTGTCTCAGGCACTCAGAACTGGTGATTCAGCGATGAGCAAAACAGATGGAAATCTCTGCCCTCGTAGAGTTTATGCTCTAGTCAGGAGTGATGTAAGAAACAAAGAGGGAAAATAGGACGTGAGGCGGTGATTAGTGTTAAGGGGAAAAATAAAGCAGAGAAAAGGGGCAGGGCATATTGTGTCATTCAGCTGACCTGACTGATGCCACAGAGTGTCTTGTGGGCTTTATAACTTGGTGATGTATATATCGAAATTCAGTGATTATAATTCTTATTCTAACAGTTTTCTCTAAAATTCCCGTGTACTTTTAAAGTTAATTTGAACTCTTTCTTATGTTCTGTAGTCATACCCTTTATTGATAATGCTTAAAGCTACCCATCTACCTATGACTTTTGTTTCATTTTGTTTTATGTCTACTGTGTTTGTCTTTTGAAGTAGCCTTTTATCATCATACGAAGCCCAGTTTGCCCCAGTATACTGATTTTTTGGTCACATTTCCCACAGAATGTGAAGTATTAAAATAGTCTTGATTTTTTTTTTAATTCCTAAAACAAAAATACTACTTTTAAATTTCTTTACTCACAAAATGGTAACAGAATAACATCAACCATTTAGTGGGAGCCAAGCGTAGTATCAGGAGCTTATCATTTTCTACAACTTGCAAGAAAGTTATTACCCTCATACTGTTAATAAAACGTAGGGTTCAGGAAGAGGTAAAATTATTTATCAAAGGTCACTCAACCAGTAAATATAAAATGAGGTCTCCTTGGAGGTTGCTCTCAGATCTATTGTTGCTCTCAGCTCTATTGTGTTATTTATTATTCTATATATTTACTGTGAAATGTATCAGGGTCTGGTGTTCAATTTATAGTTCTTAAAAACTGAGTTGCCTAAAGATGACTGCTTTGAACACTACATGCATTGTACCCTCCTCCCATTTGTTTGCATTTTTTTTTTTTTCTTTTAAGAGATAGGTCTTGCTCTGTCACCCAGGCTGGAGTGCAGTGGCGTGATCTTGGCTCACTGCAACCTCCACCTCCCAGGTTCAAGCGATTCTCCTTCCTCAGCCTCCCGAGTAGCTGGGATTACAGGCGCCTGCCACCATGCCTGGCTAATTTTTTTGTTTTTTTAGTAGAGACGGGGTTTTGCCATCTTGGCCAGGCTGGTCTCGAACTCCTGACCTCAGATGATCTGCCCACCTTAGCCTGCCAAAGTGCTAGGGTTACAGGCGTGAGCCACCACACCCGGCCCATAGTGATTCTCTTAACAAATATTTATCATTCATTTTCTTGCATCTATGCTGTTCCCCAGGATATAGATGTACACAAAGTGTGGTCCCTGCCTTCATGTTTGGGGATTAAATTAAATGTTTTTATATTTAAAGCTCCATGGCTGGCATGTAGAAGCTTTAAATACATTTATGATTAGTGTTACCATTATGATATAACTAACAACAATGATAAAATGAGGGGGTAGGAGTTCTTTAGTAAATAACCTACTTTAGATCCTACTTCCATTTTTCTTTGCTAATTTAACTAGTGAAGCTGTGGAAAATTTCAGTCACTTCTAATGACAATGAAAAAAATGGGTTAATGTCCTATAATTTATGGTGAATGCATTTGGACTGTGGCTCTTGAAGTATGGGGATGTCAACAATTTTCAGAGAAACACTTTATGAATTTTGAGGGCAAAGATCTTGTCTTGTCCCTATTGCTTTTTACTTACTAACTCATATAATGTCAACATGAGTGTAAAGGAAGTAATTTTCAAAGTCCAGCTTAACCAAACACATGTAGGAACAAAGGTTCCTCATAGGTAAAACAAATAGCCATCATCGCTAATTGTGTGCAGCATTGTTGACATGCATCGTAAAGTCCAATGGCAGTGTGGCAAAGTTCCCCTTAAGCTGCTCACACGTGCAGCTGACCAGGACAAAGATATGGTCTGCCATAGCTTTTTATTTGGCCATAAACAATTGACAGTAAATAAGACCAACTCTAACCAGATTTGA